TTGAAGCAACCACTCCACCTCATATCTTGTTGTTCATTTGTACAATTGCATTCGTGCATGTTGATACCGTGCAGTGCCCTAGATATCAGACTTTTTACGCTGATTCAGCGTCCATTCAGACATTTTTTAGGTACCAGGTCTGAACTGTAAGTTTTTTTTAATGTACATTCTCTGATTTGTCAGAGTTTTTTTTAATGTAGTGGCTGAATTTTCAGACAAAATGTAGGGGTGTAGGCTGAGCCTCAGCCACGTTTCGGGGGTGCACTCTGAAACGGGTACTGCAGGGGTCCGCCAGCCTGGCGGCGTGTTTGCACAAACACTGTCAATCACGGGCGGGAAACGGAACATTTCCCGAGCGCGGCACCGTACCGCACAGTCGCGTTGGGCCAGGGATGCTGTAATATGGCTCAATTCCAGCCAATCGCTACAGCGAAGCAGGCAGTGTTGGCAAGATTCCCTGCCAACGCATAGCTTGCACCCGGACAGCACCACAACCACCCACCCCCCTCCAACGTCCACCGTGCCAACGCATAGCTCGCAGCGCGCTGCAGCTCTCACGTGACCACATCCATCCACCCCAGTCACCCCACCTTCCCTGCACCCACGACCAGGTGCCGTGCATGCAGTGCAGTGACCAGCAAGGAGATGAGCGATCCAAATACGAGGACCCCTCATCTTCCTCATCGTCGCCCTTCGTGGGGGTCACTCCGTGCCCTATTTCTCTCGCCTCATTCAATTTCTTCGCCAGATAGTATTGCTGGAACCCTTGTTTCTGACTCTCCCTCGCTCTCGCAAAACCAGTGCTCGGCAGACTCATGGCAGCCACAGGCGCTGCCGCCGAATCGCCCGACGATGATGACGAGACAGATCGACGGCCTGCGTCAGACGCAGTGACCGGCCTGGAATTTCTACGAGCATGCTTGCCGACGCATGTCCCACCGACTACTCCACCGTCGCAACCTAGCTCTAGCCGTCCTCCAGTTTCCGTTCAACCTGAACCTGTCCCCACAGCCATCACTGAACCGATCGAAGCTGCGCCACAGTCTGTGCCCAATGAGGCGTCCGCTGAAGCACCATCCCGTCCCGCACCACCGTCGAAGCTGCGTTACCGTCTGACCACGTTTCCGTGGGCAACTACTCCTCCATCGACCGTTGAAGCTCCAGCGAGAGTCGAATCTCCCATGCAGGGCAGCTCAAAGCCCACCGACAAGACTGACTCCGATAAGTTTGAGTTGAAATACGAAGAAGCACACTTTCGTTTTAAATCAAAGTGGTCTACCGATTACGACTGGCTCAATCTAACTAAAACCTCTACCGGTGCCCCAAGTTTTAAGTGCAGCATTTGCCTGGAGTTTGCAGGACTTACGGGCAAGTGTGGACGGGGTGGTGAGGGCGCGACCGACGTGCAGACGCAGGCCTTCAAGAAGCATGAAGGCACGGTGAAGCATCGTTTTGCACTGAAGCGGCAGGAGGACCTCCTCCAGAAGTATGGCGATCAACATCGCATCGACCTACACCCGAAAGCGCAGGACAAGGAGATGTTGCAGATCTCGGCGCTAGTGGAGTCGCTGTACTTCATGAGCTCGTGCAACGAGCCCATGGACGCTTGGATTCGGCTTGTGCGCTATCTCGCGAAGAAGAAGGTGCCCGGCTTTCCAGAGCAGGGCTACGGCACGTACTACAACACGTAAGTTTATTGCAGTTGTAACCACCGAATCGTTGATTTCTTCTAACTCACAGTCGCTAACTGCCTCTGGTCTTGTTTTTTTTATACAGGTACGGCTTTGGAGAGTTAACACAGGCAATTTCAACATGGCTCCAAACAACACAGCTGGAACACCTTCTGACGAGCCCCTTCATTGGGATCACCGTGGACGTGAGCACAGACCGGCGGCGCGGCAAACACATGATCGTGTTTGCAACCTTCCTGCGCGACAAGCAAGTTGTGACTGAGTTCTTTGCTCACCTCACGGTTGAGAAAGCTGACGCTGCATCCCTATGTAGTTTGCTGCTCTCCCACATCAGGGCTGTCGGCGTGGACCTCCGCCGTATTTCGGGAGTGAGCACGGACGGCGCGATGGTGATGGTGGGAGTCCACACCGGTGTGGTGGCTCGTCTTCGGATGCTCATCCCCAACCTGGTTTCGTTCCACTGCATCGCTCACAGGTGCGTTGTTGTTGCTGTTTTATTGTTTGTTTAGTCGTTTAACAGTAACATACGATGCTAATCATGCTTGTTTGTACGTCTTGCAGGGAGGCATTGGCTGCCAAAGCCGATGCAGAGTCTATACCCACTTTCAACATAGTGGACGACGTAATCCGTGCTGTCCCTGAGTACCTGGGGCGATCATCACCGTGGCATCAACGGTTCATGGACCTGCAAGAGGTATTTACCTCCACCAACCTCGAGGTGCAGGGGATCCACGAGGTGCGGTGGCTTTCAAGGGGTGTTGCGGTCGCCCGCTTCGTCGAGGTCCTCCCAGCCATCATGGTGATGCTGTCAGAGTGGAAGGACCAGACGATGTACGAGCTCGTCACGTCCTACCGGTTTCAGTTTCTGCTTCGGTTCCTCGCGGAAGTTCTGGACCTCCTCAACATCCTCTCGAAGGTTTTCCAGCATCGTGAGGTAAGAAAGTTGAGTAATCTTGTGTTTTTCTTAAGCCGAAAACCGTGCTCTAACTAAAACTTCATTATGATGTGGCAGCTCGACTACCCATTGGTGCACACACAGATTGTGCGCACAACATCTCTCCTGGAGAGTCGGTACATCGACTGCGGAGATGACTTCGGCGGCGGGCATAATGATCGGCTTCATCGATTCATCGAGAAGCATGGGCTGCAGGGGACACCATAGATGGTGGTGGAAGGCGCGTCGTCGGATGGGAGTCTCAACCGCTTCAAGATCACCCTTCACGAGCGCCGAGTGGCGAACTATCTCGGGGCGGGCCATCACGATGCGTGTGTGGCGCTCTGCACTGACTTTGCCGAGGGCCTCGTCGAGGAGCTTCAGTCTAAGCTCGGAGACCTCGACTCTCTGTCTGGCGTGCGGCTATTCATACCTGACGAGTGGCCTCCGAATTGGGAGAGGAGTGCACGGCAGGCACAGTGCCTTGAGTGGCTGTTGTCGCTAGTCACTCTGTTCCGCGCCGACGACTGCGAAGAGATTTTGCCAGGTCAGTTAGTGAAGTGATGCTCGTTCGACTGTTGGCTAAACCGCTCCGTACTAATCCCTCGCCGTGTCCTATGTTGCAGGCATTGACAAGAAGCGTGCCGTGAAGGAGCTGCGGACTCTGTGCCCAGTCCTGGCCAGAGCCCCTAAGAGCGAGCGCAAGTTCAACACGGGATTGACTGCAATCCTCAAGACACATGACTGGGAGCAAGCCTACCCCAACCTCGTCAGACTCTGGGTGGCGGTTGCAGTGCTGCCTCTCAGCACCGTCGAGTGCGAGAGAGGATTCTCTCGCCAGAATCTCATCAAGACGTGGCAGAGGGGTAGTTTAAAAGACTGTAGGCTCAGTGATTTGCTGTGTATGTCTATGCTAGACTATGAACTGGACGTGCCGGGGGTTGTAGAGATCTGGCGCAGCTATAAGAAACGCCGGCCAGTGACGGCACCTGCTGCAAGACACAGGGAGCCCCAGAGAGTTGGGAAGGAGGCTGCAGAGGAGCCAGTAGTTCAGCCGGCAGCTGGAGTAGTGTCACATGTGATAGAATCTGATTCAGATAGTTGAAGTGTTTTCAATGTATATAAAACCGGCAGCCTACAAACTTAGTGTAACTCTGAAATTTCAGCCAAAAAAAATAGTTAAGTCTGAACTTTCAGACTTCATATTGCATGCAAGTCTGACTCACAGAGTTTAGATGAGGGTGTACTCTGACCCAACAGCGTGTCCTAAAACGAATCTAGGGCCCTGATACCGTGCCATAATATTTTGTTCATGCGTAAAATATCACTTCTCAGAAGATATTCCCAAAATGCCAAACCAAATATTAAGGGCGCTTCACCTGAGGGGCGGAAGGCCAAAATCCGAACCGACGTATCAGTTTGACTGTACGAACAGTATCCCAAATGAGTTCGAACACAAATACGTACAATGAGCGAATGTGACACAAGCCATCACAGGTGACGCCATCGCTATTCGCACACGCGGTCTGTTCGAACACAGCGACGTCGCCCACAAAAGAGCGACGTCGCCAAACATTGGGTCCCTCGCTTGTGTGTTTTCTCGCAAACGTTCATGGGCGACCCGGAAGACTGTGGACCAATCATATCAGTCGTTTGTGCGGAATTGTGTGTCACCTATCCCAACCTGTTCGAACAAACGTGTTCGAACGTGCGGGATGATGAAAATCGTGCTTGAGGTGACAGCTCTGTTCAAATTGGCGAAATTGTGCTTCGCGACGTCACGATCACCACTACGAACATAGGCGAAACGAGTAACGTTTCGCCTGTTCGAACGACTGTGTTGTTCGAACCGACAGGTGAAGCGCCCTAAGGGTTGCTACACAACCCAAAAAAAAAAAAAACAAACAAAAACACTTCATGTGTTTACAATAGAACAGTTTTCCTATTCTGAAGTGGTAATTTTGACCTTTTTGTCTGACTTTCAAAATGAAGCCGTGCACTCTGATTTTCCAGCCTAGCCCAAAAGTAATCTGAGAGCGTGCTTGGTCATGATCTACTCGTATGCAGAGAGAATCTTCTAAATACTCGATCCGAAATCACGAAGTGTCCGCTTCGTTAGCAATATTAGATACGTTTTAACGTTAAATGAATACAGATGATGCGCAACGCATTTGGTACATAGATACAGCAACCCCATAGGGCGGCTGAATCGAGAAGCATTGGACATCTGACTTCCACTGTCGCCAGATTTCCAGCAGAAATGAAGCGGAAGATAAGAATCCAATATAATATCTTTGGCCCTGGGAGAAGAGCGCAGAGGGGCGGACTGGCAGATGATTTGAAGCGACGGTGTGCGGGGAGGTGGTCGCGCTGGACTATCGCGTGACGCATCTGCGACGGAGTGAAGGCGTGCGGTAAGGATAAGAACTGATGGAAGTCATTTAGGGCAATAAGGTGCATAGGTAAAGATGCCAGAAGGTCTCGCCAAGGAAATAAAGAAATCATGTAGAGATATTAGAAACACCAAGGAACGATAAAATTCCGGAGTAATTACGACAAACTTGTACGGAGTGAAAAAAATAATCACCCACCTAGGATAACTCGTACGCGACGATAGGTGATGAGTTTAATAATCGTATGTGTAGTCTGAAGCACGGTCGTTGAACTCTGACGGGTCGGAGTAAGCTGGTCGCGTAAGGCCCTCCTCGCCATTCTCCAAGTCCTCGATATCAGCCTCCTCGTTATCCATGTCGTCCATGTGTTCTGCTTGCATCTTCTCGTACGGGTCTGCTTCGTCCCCTTCACTACTGGACGGCCAGGATTGCACGTCGCTAGTGCCCGTTTTTTGGAAGACGGCCGCAGCTACGAGGATAAGACCCATGACGACAGGCACTACGCATAAAATGGTCATAACGATGACCTCTATCAGGGAGTACACCATCTTGGCAGGCGAAAAGCGTGGACAATTGATCCGGTTTACCGAAAGATAGAGACGCAGAAAGTAGCTACAGGCCAAAGTGTGATCGGTAGGAGGCTGGGGACCAATGACTGGTTGAACAGATCTTAGGAGTCACGAAATACGAAGATAACTAAGAAATCGATAATGAGATGATAGTCAAGGAGAGGAAGGGAGGACGTTGATGTTGGAGGGGTGTGGTGAAGGGAGACAAGGACCAATGTGAGAGGCTGGAAGGAAGAGGGGAGGGTAGGGTGGAGGAGGTGAGGTGAGGAGGAAGTGCAATGAGGGAAAGCTGCGAAACTGCGAATCTGCACGAAGAGCAGAGATGCATCACGAGGCGGGTGACGATGCGGTTTGCGACGTTTGCGAAACGACTAAGTTCCGGCAAAGCCTTCCCTAATCCATGGACAATCATGCTGGTTTTGGAGGAATGTTGGCCAGCTGTTTCAGCAGGCAAGGCTCTTCGGCGGGTACTTCTGTCGTGGAGTCATATGCAAGGCCAATAGGACAAGATATCTTTGTCTTCATCTCCTTCGTACACAAGCACAACCGCCCGAACGAACACGGTGTTGCGTGAGTTGCCAAAGAGATGGACAGCCGGAATTGTTGGTGCGCAAGGCAGCTCGCACAACGTAACAAATATTTCTGTTCTTTTCACCTGAGAAAAAACGCACCTGAAGGTGGTCATTATCGAGGCAATCCACATGTTCCAGCGAGTTCCAACAGCAAAGTGGTGGTCTACTTAGTGTAGCACTCCGGTATCCAGAACATATATTATGAGTGGTAAATGAAGAGTGAGCAAAAATGTCAATATCAAATAGGGGATTACAACTTACATCAAACAATTGAGGACCTAGCAGGATATAGCAAGAGACCCAACATATTCGTCGACACTGATCCTGCTAGCATTCAAATCCGTATTAGGATATTTTTTTTACTAGCTTCGTCATATATTTATGCGAAAGCGATATTGCATTGTATCAGCTAAAATATTGGATGTGGAACATTATGTGCTTGGCAGTGGTAGAATGTTCGAATGTCCTTTTGCGCAGCGACCTAACCTAAACGCAAGGGGAGACTGGAAATGAGGAGTGCGGCACGTGAAAGAACGAGGAATGAATGAACTAGGAAACAGTTGGGTACAAGTGTGAAACCCTAGAAACATGTACCCCTTAGAATCTACCCCACTACAGCCTACACAGGCTAAGTCATATATATCTGACACACCCCCATAGGCAAAGTGGGGGAGAACTAGGGGTCACAAGACCAGTCAAGCAAAGCAAAACAAAGCAAGCTCCGGGTGGATCACAACGTCACCACACAGTCCGAGCATAGGTTCAAGGCCACAAGGCCAGTTCACATGCAGGAATATATATAAAGGTAGACAAGCAAGTGCAGGTATAAATAGATCACAGTACAAGCAAGGTCAAGAAGTGAGCAAGGGAGGCCAAGTAGGCACAAGACCTAGCATCGTACAGAAGCGCTGATGATCACAAAGCTGAAGTGCCTTGATAAAGATATCAGTAGTGTTGGCTCGAGAGGCCACGTAAGCAAGGCGCAGCTGACCACGCTGCTGTAGCTCACGAGCAAGAAAGCAGCGAAGAGCAATGAGGTTCGTTCTGTGCTCCAATCTGTGCTCCCGACACAAGGCCAGCATGACCTTGTTGTCTACGTACAGAACTGGAGGAGAACGTCAGCAGGTAGGTGAGCCTGACAAAATTAGAAGAAAGAGGAGGTTCACTAGCAAGCAGTTGGATACAAATAGCAAACCCTAACTGGGTTGTACTCGCTATGGAGCACCCCACTGCAGGCTAGATAACATAACATTCTGACACACCCCCATAGCCAAAGTGGGGTGTAATCAGCACAGTAAGCAAACCAGAACAAGCTCAGGGTGGATCACAATGTCACCACGCATTCTGAGCACAATTACAAGAAGCAACAGTTTAAAGTTCACAATTATGAGCAAAGCTAGTGGTAGTCACAGCGGGCAAGTGAGGAGGAGGAGGGACTGTGAGAGGAGAGAAGATGGGAGACGACGGCTGAAGCTGCAGACATACGGGCTACAGGAGCGGCTGGCACAGTGGCTACCGGGACAGCGCCCCGGACTACTGGAGTAACTGGCTCACGGGCTACGACGAGCTACAGAAGCAACGGACCCACGGGCGACAGGCGCAGCAGGCTCTCTGAGCTACCAGGACAGCGCCCCGGACTACAGGTGCTGCGGACGACAAGACGGCAGCCTCCTCTCAGCCTCCCCAAGCAGTCCCACACCCCCCCACACACACCCCCAGTTTCACCCCTAGCTCCACTCCCAAGGCACCCCCCCTTAAACCCTAAACCCCAGTCTCCCACTCATCCACCCCCCTCAGCGACAGCTGCAGCAGTGGGAGACAAAGGAGGAGGAGCAAAGGGAGGAATGAGGAAGTGACACCCCATACTCGCCACCCCCATACTCGCCACCCCCTGCTTGCCACCCCCAAACCCTAACACAGACAGGGTGGGATGGCGGGTAGGCAGGGTGGGATGGCGGCGCTCGCCCCCCTCCCCCGCAAGCGGCCCCCGAGGGTCGCCTCGACAGGCGACGGGAAATGGGGCCGGGGCGCAAGGAGGGCGGCGGGGCCACAGGTGTAGGGCGGCGGGGCCGCGAAGGTGGGGCGGCGGGGCCGCGACAGAACGGCGGCGGGGCCGCGAAGTGGGGCAGCGGGGCCGCGAACATAGGGTGGCGGGGCCGCGAAATGTGGCAGCGGGGCCGCGACGTGAGGCGGCGGGGCCGCGAAGTGGGGCGGCGGGGCCGCGACTGGTCCCCATCGCCCGTCGCGGCGCCTTCAGAGGGCGACGCGGCGAACGACGGGGCAGAAGCCCGCCGCGCGCCTCGGGGCGCACAGCGGGCAGAGAACCGCCGCGCGCCTCGGGGCGCACGGCGGGCAGAAAACCGCCGCGCGCCTCGGGGCGCACGGCGGGAAGAAAAAGTAGCAGCGGAAGCGAGGAGGTGGTAACCCACCCACCGGATCGATCCAAGGGGATCGACCTGCTCTGATAGCATGACAAAATTAGAAGAAAGAGGAGGTTCACTAGCAAGCAGTTGGATACAAATAGCAAACCCTAACTGGGTTGTACTCGCTATGGAGCACCCCTCTGCAAGCTAGATAACATAACATTCTGACAGAGCCAGCGTAACTCTTGTGCAGCCATGGCCTCTGTGTAGATCTCGGCCTCATAGCTGGAGCCGAGAACAGAAGACGAGCGGGTAGACCGCCACGAAACAGAGTCGGAACCAAGGCTGAAGGTGTAACCCTGTGACGACCGCTGCGTAGCCTGGTCGTCAGCCCAAGAAGCGTCTTCGTGACCAGTGAGGACCACTGAACGCCGCCCTCCAAGCACTAGCCCCATGCCTGACGTACTGCACAACTAGCGCAACACCCTCTTCGCTGCAGCCATGTGCTCTGGTCGGTGTCTCCAAGGAGCAACATAGCGTGCCAAGATGCTAAGAGGGTATGCAAGGTCAGGTCGAGTGCAGGTCATCAGGTACATGAGGCAGCCAACAAGCTCTCGGTACGGGCCACTCGGCTCTACGGACTCATCCGAAGGCAGAGCTGAGAGCGAGTGGCGAGTAGACAAAGGAGTGGCCTGAGGCGAGGAGTACGTGAAGTCAAAGCGCTGAAGGACCTACTGCGCCATGTGTGACTGGGTCAGGGTAATGGTGCGCTGTGCTCTGTCCCGGGTGATCTGCAAGCCAAGGTAGCTGCATATTTCACCCAGGTGTATGCACGTGTGTCTCTTCTGCAGCTCGGACTTCACATGGGCGAGCCCAGCAGTGTCAGCAGTGGCAAAGACCAAGTCGTCGACGTACACGAGGATGTAGAACGGCGGCAAAGAGGTGTCGGTGCGAAGAAACAGCGACGGGTCGGCTGTAGAAGGAACAAACCCAAGAGCCGCAAGTGTAGTCCTCAGTGTGTCGTGCCACTCGCGGGGCGCCAAACAGACTCAGACTCAGCAACAAGACTAGCGGCGTAGTCTAGACGACAGCGCGCAGCAAAGTCGACAAGCTCAGCAACTAAGGCAGACGCAGCAGTGGACTCAAAGGAAGGGTCAGTGACAACAGTAGCTAGGAGACGCGTGACAGTAGGACTGGCAGCACGAAGAGAGTCAGACTCCGGGTCAGCAAGAACAGGAAGAGAGGACTCTGGAGGAGACAGCAACGGGACACGCAGAGGAGCAGTGGAAGGACGTAGTGCCATCTGGTGTGTGCGTGGGACCGCAGGAGGACGCGGACGCGGAACACGACTACTAGTGCGAGTAGCACGAACAGGTGACGCAGGACGAGACGCAGGCTCACGACGCTCAGCAAGACCTCAAGTAGGACGAGTGTAGGGAGAAGGAGCAGGCAGGAGGGAGGCGGGCTGTAACTGTGACTGCGACTGGACAGGCTGTGGACACTCTAAGGGAGGAGCAAGACCAGTAGAAGGCGGGAGACCAAGAACCTGCTCAAGGAGCGGAACGAAGTACGGCCGCGGCTGCCTAGCGACTCCTGGAATAGCAGGGACAGCACCAGTACCCCCAGCGGCAGCACCAGCGCCAGCAGTAACTCTAGCTCCAGTAGTGCCAACTCCAGCACCCTCACAAGTACCAGCGCCAACAGCACCTCCAGCAGCTCCAGTACCTCCAGCAGCACCAGCAGCATCTCCACCAGGACCAACTCCAGCATCCCCAGCAGCACCCCCAGTCCCAGCAGCTCTAGTACCGCCAGTACGAGCACCTCCAGGACCAGTGGCTCCAGTACCTCCAGCGCCGACCCTAGGGTAAGAAGCAACAATAGCACCTCCAGCGCCAGCTGCACGGCTCCAGCGCCGGGCAAACCACTCACGCAGCTCCTCTGGATAGGGTAGCTCCCACCAAGACGAAGCACCCGAAGGACCCCTAGACCCATCACCGCCAGAGGCCACACGAGC